ATTATAATTTTTAGTTATAGGCGAGCGGGGTGCGCAACGTAAGAGAATTCTTAACTGTAAATTACAGATAAAATAGAGCATCACTGTATACTACCACACTTCTCACTTTTTCTAAATCTACATTTTCTAATATTTCAAAAAGTAATTACACAAAACTGGTTACCGACTAATCAAAATTTTAATTTAGACCGTTGTCTAATAATTTAATTTAAAATAATTTGATAATAAAATAATAATAACAGGTTCCTATTTAAAATTTCAAAAGTTACACCTATAATCTACACTTGTGGTTATTTTGTCTTACAATAAATTTTACATATACGATAGTTTATGATAATAAATTAAATTTTAATCTATATATTTAATTTAAAAAAATATATTTCGTTAACGGAAAATGAGTGGTAGTATGCTTAATAAATCTGCCTTTATATTGAAGTATTAAATTTGAATCATTCGAATACATTTCCTTTTTGAACAAAAATCGTACAAACAATTTTTGTTCAATACCTAATTAATGGATTGGTTTATTTTTATGTATTTGTTGAAATTAAAAGGATATTCAAGTATATTAGAATTATAACTAATGTTATCCTTTGGGTCAAAAGTGTTATAACTATTAAGCCGTAAAAAATTGTAAACGTTTTTTCTGTTTTACTGTCCTTAATAATGTATTTATATTAACATCATATATCAATAGGTGAATAATATGTGAAAATCGAAGATCAAATTTAAACTGTGTAGTTAAGATAAGTGATTAAAGTTTAAATAGGTAGGTACTTATAACTAATTGAAATTCTTTTATTATTATTATGAATGGGCAATGACAATATTTGATTCACAAAACATTTCTGGATATCCTAAGCAATTTAAGAACGAAATGAAACACAATTTGAAATTCTCAATAATATATGAACCAACTTAACTATTTTTTTGATTGCCACGTAAAGATTTTCTCAAAAGTTTATAATTCTAAAATTGAAAAAAAAACTTTTCAATATACATTTTTTACAGTCTAATATCGAAAGAAAAGTAATAAAAGTTTAAGACTACTCAAATCTAACCGGAAAAAAATTTTAAACATAATATTGCCACGAAGTATTCAATTGAAAAGTTCTAAGATGCATAATAAATTGATGTAATAATATAATAATGATGTTTTTCAGTAAAAACTTATCAAATCTTAAAAGTATGTACTAGTTATACAACACCAATGTCAAATTTTATACAGAAATGAGACTACACATTATTGATTTATTTAAACCATAAGTAACATGTATTGACATAAAAATTAAATCTATGTATGTTTGTCAAGTAAACTTTACAATGTCTTTCCTAAACTAACATTAAGTTCATGTATTCTATGAACATGCAACCTCCAAAATATGAGAATTGAAACTTAATTATATACTTTTCCACTAGAGATTATAGGTCATTAACGTAATACATGTAAACACTATGATATCTGATGTAAAATTTTACTAAGGCATAATGTAAACTCAAAAATAGCATACATTTAACTTACTATTTTAAAAGAAACAAGTATTCAATTTAATAGAAAAATAAAATATTTCTATAAAATTTACTGTATTTAAATATACAATACAACTTATAATGTGATACATCAAACTTTAAATTTCTTTAGAGAATTTATTAATTATATCTTATGTCAATATACACATAATTTTTTATTCCTTATTTTTATTAAAATATTAAATTAAGTCAATATTTGTTTGGTTTTTAGAATTAAAATTAACAAAGAAACTAACATCACACCAAAGACCCAAAGTATAGAATTATGTTGTCAAAAATTTCTCTTTAAATAATAATTACTTAATTAATAGAGGTTATATTCAAAGACAGTATTGAAGAGACATAAAAAAAATTAAACATTAGGTACAAAACTTATTGGCTTAATTTGTTCAACTGCTACGATAGCTAAAATATCTTTTAACAATATTAGAATAATAATTATTCTAATATAATTTTACAGTAATAATAAAAAAATATTTATAAAACTAACTTGTCACAAACACATTTTCTATATGTAAACGACCCCTAAATATAAAAAAAAATCTTATATGAATAAATCATAGTTTTTTTTAATTTTCTATTTCAACTTTTTTTTTGTTAATTATTTATGCCTATATTTTAGGTCAAACGGTGTAGTATATAGGAGAGCGGTATGTACTCCGTTCAATCCCCCCTTAAACAAAATATAATTGTAATAAAAAAGATTTAAGTATTAAATATAAATATTTTCAAGGATAATTTTCGCAGCTTTTAATATCAATCCAATAAGTATATTTAAATGAATGAAGTTGCCTTTACCAAAAAAATATTCTAGCTACCAAAGACTTGTAGTAAATCACATTTTTAATTTCATAACTGAAATAATAATTAACTAATAAATGTCAAAATAACTGAATTAAGAAAGTTATCTTTCTCTTTTTTGATAAATTCATACTCACAATTATGATACACATTTGCCATAGAAATAACGAAACATAAAACTTTTTATAATTTCTCCATGAAAATTACAATACAAAAATTGAGTATCAATTTCATACTAAATTTCATTTGTATAATATGTATTTATTCATGTATATACTTATAAATTATAAAGTTCGTAGTTAGAATATAATTAAGGAAATAGAAGTTAATATGCTTTCGGAGAAAATTCATTAAATTCCTTCAAAGTATTAAACACTATCAATAGAATTGCATCTAAGTGCTTCTTATTATAATGATTTTAATCTCTATCAGATATCATCATACTTTTGCCAAGTATGCCACAACCCCACTGAACTGGGTCGGGTTTTTATTTCACAATAAAATAATTCAATAATTTAACAAGGCAGCTATTGAGTTAATGGTCACATATAATAATAACGCGTAATTCTTGTTTCGAAAATTGAACAGTATTGTAAACATTTCATGAGGAAAAAACTTATTTTTGTATAAGCGTTTTAATAATTTTGTTCAATGATCCATGTGTAATCGATTAACTGAAGTTCACGGTAAACTATTACATAAGTATCTATTAATGAAATTGATTAAACAATTTCTACTTTTAGTATATATTTCTAACATTATTTTTGACGTATTTCATAATTAAAGAAAAAATATTTAAAAATAACTATTTTAATTGTAACTATGGAATACATTTTTTATTGCATATAAAAAATATATAATGGATTTTTAGAAAAATTTAAGATTCGAATAAGAATTCTGTTGAAAATGAAAAATTTTTAATTTTTTTAGCTAATTATAGATGAATATTTTTTAACAGTCAGTCACACAGGCAAACGAAAAAATCTTAAATTGCACTTACTTTTATTTTCAGTCAACTTTTTTTGTTAACCATAAGAATGTGAGTTATTAAAAGAGAATTACGATACACTATGATAAGGACGTTTGCATGAAATAGGCAAAAAGTAAAATTGTTTTGTGTAGAACAACTTTAATCAAGTTAAATTGACATCGCAGTCTTCAAATTTTCACCAAGTTATAAAAAAGAAATTTACCAGTGATCTAGTATTTTTATAGTATTGATATGGCAGCTCAAAAGTTATTCATTAAACATTGGAAAATATAAATAGTGTAATTTACTAAAATTTACTAGTGAGTATAAAATATTAGAAATGATGTAAACAGATAATATTCTCATTAATAATTTTGTAAAGATTCTGACATCAATATAAATCAAACATAGTTGCCCCGCGCAAAACATGTTTATAACTGTTTGTTAACAATACTTTGTACTTTTGTGAGTCTAAACTTAAATTATGGACTTTGATCGGCCTTCTCCTACTTATAAATATTTTACACAGTTAACCTACATACAAATCATATTATTATGTGTATCTTAAGGCAGGTTTTATCCGTCATTTTAAATCATATACTCAATTTCTTAAGTTACACTAATTTTTCTAATGAAATAGATAAAAAAATATATTTTATACAGCTGAAGATAGTTATAAAAATCTTATCGTTTTATTTTTAGTATACTAGCACTCCACGAGGTTATCATAAAATATCTCTATTACCTTAACATGCATTTACTTGAATGTTAATTGTAAAATTAAATATAAAACCAAATGCTTAGCTATATGATTTTTTATGTTAATAAATAAAAATGATAATTTAGTTGTTTTTTCTTGTATACATCTTTTATTCTTCTAAATTTTAAAATTAAAAATATACATACATTTCCGTTGAAATGTATATAAATAATAGAATTGCATTATTTTCTGGATAAAAAAATCTACCTACTCCATTGTATGTCTCAACCACTCCCATGCATTAGTAATAACCTAGTATATTACACAAGCGTATATAAGTAATAATTTACTTGATGGACATAACAGATCATGATATTACAAGCAACCATAAAATAAAACTACTTAAGTTCTTACTAAGTGTATTATGACGTTTTTTTCAAATAAAAATCGTTGAAAATAAATGACAACAGACGAAATAATGTTTTAACATTTAAAATACAAGAACTATGTAGAAATTATATAAAATTTACCATGAATTCCAAAAAGCGTTGTCGGATAAGCAATTTAAAAATTTTACGTAAATAAAAAGTAATATTGTCCGAAAAAGAAAAATACGACGAGCGACTAGTGCTCATTATAAAAACAAGATATTGCACTCAAGTTGATTTGATAACATTAAATCTCAAAATATACACACATAACATTTGTATAAATTATTCTGGTTTCTAAATGATCGGAAAGTTACACACATTTTGTGGCTATCAATTATTATTAAAAATCAACATTACATCCATACTGGTCTTAGATTGAAGTTATTATAATTGTTAAATCTGAAATTCAGATTATTTAAAAAATTTCATTAGCTGAAAAATGAATACCTCATAAGAAATCTTTCCCAAAATATCCAAATAAAACGTTTTATTAAAAAAATTAATGAGAATGGCTATTTAATATTACACCTAATTAAGAAAAAAAAAATTAATTCAATGAAATACATACCGACATTCGGCGAATAAATATAAGCAACAATGCCACCGGGTCAATTAAGAAGTTCACCGGATGGGGTCAACCACAAAAAATACCGGCTCGTCGACAAGTAATGAGTACTCAGAAGGCGTGCTGTAGTGGTGTCAACGGTAGTGGCGGCGGCGAGTTATTCAAAACGATTGCCCACTCAAGGGTCGGCCACCAAGTGCGGCGCGAGCGAGCGTCGAGTCGTCTGTCGAATGCGGCGTTCGCACTTCTACGTGCACGTCCGAAAGTCCTGTGGCCGGCTGTAGCAGTGGCGGCGTGCGAACAACGGATGTGGCGCGCGTATTCAGAGAATCGCACGAGCTCAGCGCAAGAAGGTTAGCGTATAAAGTTCAACATTGTGCTTCGCGTTTACTGGATGCTACGAATTGGCCACCGTACGTTACATACCGGACGGCGGGTAGAGATTGACACAGTGGCCCTTCTGCGTATAGCGCGCGCGCATTCACCTGTGTACTCTCTGACAACGACCACTACAATCGCGTACAGCTAACAAGTGGTTCATGCAACAGTGTAACACGACGGCGGCGGTTCGACCTACTTGAACGGCACAAATTTCATCGTCGTGTTTAAACTTTTATGATGCATTCGTTTTTTATGTCAAATACGCCGTTCTCTTCAAGATATCCTAATTTCTTCGATCACCTGAACTGTAATAGTTATTTGTTAATTAACAATAGTGTTTTATTAAGCAATAAGCATATTTCATATATTATGCAGTAAAAAAATACAAATTAAGTCTCATAATTTTAAAACGTACACCTCAACTAAATATTTATAACAAAATATAAGTTTCTTTATTTTAGAAACTCAAACTTGAAATATACCAAACAAACAGCATAAAGAGTATTTACGAAGATTAAATGAATACCACAAAAACTTTCTTCGGTTGACTGTTATACTTAACAGAAATAGATTTCAAGTTTTTTATAACAAACTCGTGTATTAAACAAAAGTATTCGTTGAAGTAACTTTTCAAAGAAGAATGTTAAATGATTCTAATTGAAATTTTTTAGGTAATAATATAATGAAAATAATCGGGTGAAGACACAGATAAATCTACCACTTACCCCGGCACCTAAAATTGTTTAGGTATGTATATAAGAATAGTGGACTGTATAAGACCGTCTATTTACAACACTAGAACGGCGAGGAGGGAGGGTTTGTCAATTACAACAACTTACACCAATACAAAAGACGTATAGCCCTTCACGTGGCTGCTTCATATAAATATTCAAATATCTTCAATGCAAAGCTTTAAAATGTGTCTATAACAATATTAAATTAGTACAACTCAACAAATTATTATCCTAGCTTAATGTCATAAGTGTAATAACAATTAGATTATAATTCTAAAAATATTATTAAACTACTTGTTATTTTGTTGATTTATAAGCCATAAGTATCCAAATAATCATATTTACGTAAAACTAAGTTTTGGTAATTTTAACGGACTTATCCAAATTTTACCGAAATACAAAGCTTAAAAGTGCATATTTCTTAAATCAACATTTTTATTTGATTAAACCACTTGACTATTAATAGTTACAAATTTTTAACTTAATACCTATATTTTAAATTATTTCTAAGAATAAAAATGAGCAATACTTTAGTAATGACATCAATTAATTGTCGAGAATTAATATCATTGAGTATGGTCTGGTTAACAATGATATTAAAAGATCCCGTTGAAAAATATAGAGAACAAAAAGTTAATTAATCATGCTGCAGAAAAAATTTTTATAAAACTTTTCAAGAATAAAAAGAAGTCATATTACAAAATTTATGCATGGTTAAAAAAAAGTCAAATATTTGTTAAAAAAGTAAATCATTTTCTAACTAGAAAATTGTTTACTTTAGTTTTAAAGTTAGAGTAGAATAATTGTGTAATCGGGTAATTNATTTGTTAAAAAAGTAAATCATTTTCTAACTAGAAAATTGTTTACTTTAGTTTTAAAGTTAGAGTAGAATAATTGTGTAATCGGGTAATTTAAAATACTACTTTTAAAAAATGTGTATAACTATATTGTTCGAGAATGAGAAGATTAATAAAATAACTAACATCTTATGTTCACGCCATAATTTTTTTTCTAGAAATTGCATATTTAATATTTATGATGTTTTAAAACTTCTAAAACTAATAATGTTTTAATTAAAGTTAAGTTATTAATTAGCTATAATGAAGCACCTACGTGTAAAGAAATCTTTACCAGCTACTATATATTCTTCTTAGTTTACCCCAGAAAATTAAATTTATTTTTTATTTTTATTAATAATTCTATTATTTTTTATTTGCTAATATAATAATTATATGATATATAAAATAATATAATTATTCTATTATTTCAAAATAAATAACAATACTTGTTAAAATGAGAAATAAAGTTCCATATACAATGAGATGCGTAACAATAATTTATTTTCAGATAAATTGAATTTATGTTCATTTTAATGTTTAAAATTTTTTTTATTATTAATAAATGATCACTACAAATTTCCAAAAAAAAATTATTGTAATTGTGTTTTATAGTATTAAGTTGTACTTGGTATCAGGAATTTTATTGTATAAAATCACTTATAACTGAAGGAGTCAGTAGATAAAGGTGTTAGCTGACATTTTTTCAAAAATTAATTTTGTTGCATGTATAAAAATGTTATCGGTAATAAAAACATTTTATCAATGGAAAACTTATTTTGACTCGTGGTTATCGAAATAATAAATTGATAAAGGTGTTACTAGAAAAAATTACCATTAATTTAGTTACAAAAGTTGTAATCCAAAAACATTTCAAAAATATCTGTTAATTCTTTAATTCACTGGCTTCTTCAATTATTATAACATAATACATAGAAATTTTAAGTGTAATAACTTTAGTTTGTATTAGGTTTTAACCAAATTTATTAAATTAATATTATTATTGTTATGTCACTCCCTCTTGACCGATCTGTCACATCATTTACTACGCATACATCAGCCATCCTCATATCGCATTCAATAACATTGCTCCATCTCTTTTTTGATCTTCCTTCAACATTAATTTCCACAATTTTCTTACAGCTTCCGATTTTTCTATCCAAATAACATGACCCAACCATCTAATTCTATTTTCTCTCATCTTACCTACGATTTGATACTACACCAATATTCCGTCTTATATGTTTGTTCTTATCTTCTCTAATCACTCCGATCATCCATCTGAGCATTCTCATCTCTGCCACACTCATTCTCCGCTCTACACTCTCGGCCTCATTTGAATTTTCTTATCACATAACAACCAGACACTTCTCTCCAATTCACACACCCGCAGTTGATCCTGTATCTTATATCCTCGTCTATACCTCCGTTCTTTTGCACAACTGATCCTAAATTCTAAAACTTTCCACCTGACCTATCTCGTTCTCACTTATTTTCACTGATCTCCTCATTTCACCTTCCTCTGTCAAACTCGTACTCTATATACTTCTTCTTACTCCTTTTCCTTCGAGAGCTGATCTCCACACCTCTAGCCTTTGATTAATTTCCTCCATTATTTAAAATATGTATTATAAGAATAAAAACATGTTCAGTACCATATGATTTAAATTTCTAAATAAATAACAATAAATAGTTCGTCTACTTATTTTTAAAGGTCAAAAAAATTATCAATGCAGACTATCTTGTTAAAATGTATCGAATGGAAGAATCATTTCTTTACAAATTCATTAGATCTTCAATATTTTACTAAATTAAATAGAAATAAGGGTGTTCAAATGGAGATTTCAAACCAATATTTGGTTATAAAATGTAAATTTGACGAAATATATACTAAATTTCATAAATATTTTTATACTTCATAGTATTAATCAATACTTTAACACAACTGCATTTTTTAAATTGTTCCATAATCCCCATGTAAAATTCATAATTAAAATTTTTTAATAGATTTAAAGAATAGAACAATTATTTAAAGCACTTCACAATTTTTTTTTTTATTTTATTGGTGGAAAATATATACAGAATGGGATATATCTGATTTCCATTTAATAAATTTTATTTATTAAAGAAAATTAATAAGCTTTACAATTAATACAATTCAGTTTAAGAAGTTTAGCTAAATAAGTAACAGTGGTAATCAACAAAATGATTAAACATTGATCAAAACACAATTTAATGATTGAATAAACCGATAATTTTGATTACATTAATAATTAGCGTACTTGTAAATTTAAAAATTAAATAGAACTATTATCTCATGTAAATATAATATGTTATGTTAATTGTATAGCCTTTAAGTATACAATTAATTTAAAAAAGAAACTAACATAAAATATTAATTGGATCATTTATTCCAATCATTAAAAATTGTTATTATTATTGATTAAATTCTCAGTTTATTAAATTTTGAGATTCACCACACTGTTGTAGAATATGACAATTTGTCCAACTATTAAAAAATTATTTAATATTTTTATAAAGAACAAATGAAGGATGAAATTTTCAACATTCAAATCATACATTTATTTAAGTTTACTAGTTTAATTAATATAACAATAAAATAACACTTGATAAAGCAAGTGTAATACTACATAATAGGCTCATTTCTCATAACTATTGAAATACGGCGTTTGCGTAAAACTTTAATTCCTTTGAATTGTTTGTCACTTCTTGCTAATACTTCATGTTTATACTTATATCTTACATCATCTCTACAAATATTAGCACATAATATTTTTAAAAAATATCAATTATATTTATGATTGCTACGAGGACTCACTTCATAATATATAGAGATCGACGAGGCAATAATGCTTCAACAAAAATATTAGGATCTGTATCATCTGTTAACTTCATTATTGAATCTGAAAGTAAACTTAAGCCAGCAATAATATTACCACAAAACTAGAAGAAAAATTGTTCAATTAAAATTTAGTACATTATTATTATGCCATAATTATAAATAAATAATAAAACTAATTTTCTTTCATTATAAGTCCAAACAAAGAATATATTATTTACAATTTTATAACATTTTAAAAATAAATATTTTCAATAATAGTTTTATTTTTTGATTAATTAGGTTATTCATACTAAAAGAATAATTAGGTATAGCATATCAATCATCCAAATACGGATACCAGAAGGTTATAAAGTAATGACTCCTCCTAAAATTAGAATTATTTTTTGAAGTCTTCTTTTTTAAAAATAGCTCTCACTATAATTTACAGGTTTAGTAAACTGCCCCCCCAAAAAATTTCTTTTACATTTTTGTCTACATTTATTTGATTTAATCATAAATGACTACTCTTACTTTCACACTATCTATATGTGCTTTAACATAACCATCATCATACAAATCAAGTATATGTACTTGTTGCATAGGTTTTGTTTTAGAATCATTCCCAAATGACAATATTTTTAGCTTATTGATAATATTAGCATTTTTATCATTCTTCCACAAAATTTTTTCAGTCTCTCTATACCCGTGTATAGCCTATCAAAAAAAAAATAATAATAAATTATAGTTTTATTATAATATACAATGATGAAATTGGTGTAGCGAATCGAAAATGTATATTTTGAGTTATACATGTTTTTTGTTAGTAAAATTTACTTCCTAGGCAATGTATTTATGAGTTTTATTCTAAATTCAATATTTCAGTTATAAAATATTTGTATTATTTTAACTGCAAAATCACAAAAATTAACTACAATAAGGAATAGATATCTTAAATCTTTAAATACATTTATTTCAAAATAAACTTTTTGAGTTACTACACTAACACCTTAATGGTGCGTATGACTCACATCATCCCAATGATCATGCTGATACCTCAAACGTTTCAATGATATTTCTATTTCATTAACGAGTTCTTTTTCTTCAATGTCTGTTACAACGTCAGGAAGAATAAAAAATGACTTTTCAAAAATGTTTTGTCTGGATTTAGCAATTTTTTCAGGAAATTGATAATCGATAAATTTAAAAGTTTGATGTGATATAATGTCTTTAGAAGATACAGTTGACAATTTCTTGAGAGATACTCCAGATTTTAAAATAAATAAGTTATTTTTAGATGTTGTAGTAATAATTGATATAAATCTCATGGCAAATCTATGAATCGTATTTATTTACTCTATTTTCATGATAGAGTTAATTTCTTCATTATATTTATATGTTTCAAAAAATCTTCTTGCATTTTCTTTATACTATAAAACAATTTAATTTAACTTATAAACAGTTCAATAAAATTGAATTAATTAAAAAAGACAAGTATATTTTTAGAACAAAACAACAAATCATTAAAATTTAAATATTATCCACCAAGTTATCAGATCTTAAAAATATGAAACTGAGTATGGTATGAATGAGGCAGTTCCTTAACACTTATACCCGGCATTAAAGTGATAAGAATGAAAATGGTATTTAAAAAAAAGATTTGTTAGTAAAAAAATGCCTGCACATAAATATTAATATTTATTTGACTTAAATTTCATTTTAAGGTCAACAATAAAATTCTGTTTTAAATGTTTTATAAGACATTAAATAAATATCTACATATTTATATATCAATGTATGATTTTTCTCATAATAAATGTTTGTATAGTGTAGTTCGATTTTCACTATTATTTATATATTTTTATTCTTCATTAAAAGTCAAAATTGTATCTTCAACTCAAAAAACCAAACCAATTGTTTTTAGTATTTTATTTGTTTTTTGCTTCTTGGCCTTACTGATCAGGGAGCTTTTGAAGTCGATCGCCTCTTAGATAAATTAAACAATTTTGCGACCCCTAAATTACTGTCCAAATTAAGCCACTGGATCTATCCATTAAATATTTTCCTTATAACTCATAGACCCATCTGCCTTAATTTATTTTTGATTCTTATCAAGTGTTTATATCAGTAGCAGTTTTCAACTGTGTTGAGGGAAAGGTCCTAAAAATAAAATTTACTTGAAATAAATATTAATCTTACCTATATGGTAAGACTGTTATAAGAAGTATACATATATTATAATTAAAAAATATTAGTATATGGGGAGTATTTACAGATCGCAGAAAAAAGCCACTAAATCATATCAGTTAAAAAATACTATTAATCTTAATTCTTTAACAATTTATTTGAAAGTTTTAAAACTAATGGAAAGTAATCAACATAGATGTACCATAACTAGATGATACATCATGTTTTTAGACATGAAATTCCAAAAAACTCCCTTTGATTATTATATTATATTAAAATATTTGTAGTTAGAAAAGCTGTTATTTTTATTTTACCCACCATTAAAAAATAATCTGATAGTTATGATTCTTCTACTAATCATATTTTTAATAGATATTTTTTATTAATTCAAACAAATTTTAGGTCAAATGTCTAGAATTAAAAATTTGGGAAAATGAAAAAAAATGTTAAGCTATTTTTAATTAATAACACAAATCAAATTAAAAATATATAAATGCACGATCAATTGCAGCAACATATATTTTAACTAATAAAATATTATGAATTATATTATACAATAAATAAAGAAATAATAAACTTAAAAAAATTACATAAAGAAAAAACAATTTGAAAGAGAAAAATTATACATTATTTATCATTTAATTTTACTTAATGATTAAATTATGAAAAGTATGAGTTTAGTACATTATTTATACAAGATGACAAGAATTATTGAGAAGTACCACCAAATTTTTCAAGTCGTTTCAGTCTAATTACACGCTGTTGTTCTGTTTCTTCCGATGGTTCTTCTTCTAAATCAGGTGTACTTAAGTGTGCTTTATTTCTATAAATAAATAATAAAAAAAATATGTTCTCAAAAAGTATTTTTATATTCTTACTTGATATTATTGTCAGTTGTGCTGTTCTCTGGCTGGTGATTGTTTTTAGTAACCTTAACTTTGTTTTGAACATTTTCACTAGTAGAAGATGTATTATTTAATCTGTTAAATATTAGTAGTAAAATTAATCAGTGAGTTTCTATTTGATATAAAAATAGTGTAATAATAAAAACTAAAGATTTTATTCAATAAAAAATAACTTCTGTGATTGATTTTAAACCTCGTATAAAAAGGTTAACTCCAGTTTCAAGACTTATAAATCACCACTATTTATAATAAAGAAAAGTAAAATAACAATATATACTAATAATAATTTATTTAACACTCCAAAGAAAAGATTGTAGCTATAGGACTAATATATACAGCACGGAAATAATAATTAAATAGTAATACAATACAAATAATATAATTTTATATAAAAAAAGTTGAAGTCTATTACATTATTACATAAAAAGTATCATAAATAATATATTTTAATCTATAAATACTATCACAATAGAAATCAAAGTTATACAAGTTATTACAAGTTATGATTAAATGATTAATGGGTTCATTAAAACTATAATTTTGAAGATAGTAATTTACATGAAATAAAACTTTTTTAGGGGTATTAAAGGCAGGGACGTGGAACTTTATTCTATTAATAAGTTTAGAACTATCAATATGTTTGTTCAATAAATAATATAAAAAGTAAGCATTCGTAAATTTGTGTAAATCATACATCTGTGATGTAAATCTTCAACAAATATTAAATAATTAGTATATTTAAAAACTTTAACATCATTTATAAATTATAATATCATTCGTAAATTACTACTTTGATTAAATTATAAATACAAATACAAACCCAGCAATTAGACAAGCAGAGGAATAATGATTCATCATAACTACAGCTGCATCCAACATAGCTTTAATGTCGGTGATATATTTGAGACGTGCTAAACATCCCTCTCTAGTATTTTGTTCCATTATTTTTAATTCTTCATCGCTAAGATCAGTTAAGTTTTGTGGCATAATTGGTAGCTGAATAGCGGCACCTATGAATAGAAATATACATAAATACAACTGTTGATAACATACAGTCAACCAAAATATAATTTTTCAACTATGAGAACTTATAACTTATATTACAGAAAAAATCAGAACATCTGAATTCAAAAGTTTTTCTAGAACCAAAATAATTTTAGTCTCTCAAATGATATAATAACTAAAAAATTTTTTTTTTCTTGTATACATAAATTTATTAAAAGCTAAATAGCAGCGGAAAACTTTTTAGCATGCATTAAATTTTCTGGCATTAAAATGATTAAATCTAGGCTAATTTTAAAGAACTATGCTCTAATTTATATAAATTATAATCTTTATTAAATTAATATCCTTTAAAGATTTTTATGTAATACTTTAAAATATTACTTTTTAATGACATTATCACAATTAATTTATACAACTATACTTAAATAAAAAATATTACCTTACAAACTATAATTAGACAGGACATACTTACCACCAATAAATGGCATACTTAAAAAATTGAATGGCATATTTGAACTAGCAGAAGATGCTTCATTACCTAAAATATATAAAATTTTAATTATCTAAAATCATATGAAGTGTGAAAGTGTCTAATGTTTTATATGCAAAAAAAAATAAAAAATTATATGAAATATAATTAATTGAAAATATTGCCATAAAATTAGTACTTTTAAAAAAATGCTAATATTTTTCACATTATACATACAAGTCCCTTGAATTTTAGCAATTTAAACATATACAGAATTGAAATTATGGACATGTGGAATGTTTATTAGGAATAATATGTGCATTATAATTTTTAGGTACTAAGAATGTTTAACATTATCACTCTTCAGATCACTCTATCAATTCAATTATTAAAACTACTTATATCAGATAATAAATTTCTTACTAGTACTTGATACACCAGGAGTTTGATTTACAAAGTTAGTCCTGAATTCATACTGCTGTTGTTCCATTCCCACATAATCACTATTAGGTATGTTTGGAAATGGTCTGAAAGGAAATGATGTTTGTTGAGGTCGCATATTGGTTCCAGGAACTGCATTTGATGTTGAAGCATTTGCATTATCAGTAGAAGTAGCAGTTGGTCCAGATGTAGAAGTAGTAGCCTGTGGTACTATTGGAGATGTTCTTGGTGGTTGAGTGGCAGCATTTGAATTTGAAGTTGATGGTGGTGGACGCAATATATCCAATCTACAAGTAGGACAAGTTTGATGACGTTGAAACCAACTACGTAAGCAAGATGTATGGAAAATGTGATTACAAGGTAATTTTTTAGCAGCTAAAAAACAAATTTTTCATAATTTAAGATTATTTAATAGAATTTCTAAATTTTAGATGATAAAATTTGGTAGCATCTATAAAAATATATTATATACTTAATATAATATTAAATTTTAATTACCAGTTGCAGTCATGTCTTCGCGACAGATAATACAAACATTTTCAGTTGCTTGTAAATCTTCAGTTGTTGCATCTGGATATAATGTGTTCATGTTATGTATGGCTCTACGAGATAGTACTAGATCTTGGAATACCTTTTTGAAATTTCTACATTACAAAATAGGTATTTTATAGTTTTATAAATTTTATTCTTCTTAACTATTTTTATAAAAATGTTTTATGTTTATTACCGTAAAGTATGATACATTGGTCTAAATGCAAACAAGGGAATGGTATATGTTTTTACCATGATGATAAGGAATACAACATACATAACTGCTTTGCAAAAACCTAAATATTCAATATTAGTTAATTAAATACTGCTTCCAAATATTTAAGAGACTTGGTAGTTGGGTATTAGGTATTAGGTATAGCTTATTAGAAAGCTTTCACCCAGATAATAAGAGAACTGTTTCGATTCTCAGTTTGCTAATATATTTTTTTCTCGATTTCCGAATTTCTAACAATACATTTTTATCAATAATTTAAGACTTGAAATTAATAACAAATCAATATAAATTTTTTTTTAGTATTACCACATCTTTGAAAAATCTTAAGTAAGCCACTCCTAAGGTCATCAATATATTTCTCCCATAAGCACACATACCATAGCAATTATTAACTGTTTATTCTAGTAATCAATTAAATAGGTAGAAAATACAAAACTATAAAATTTATAAATACATACCGATGAAAAACTCAAGATATAATAAAAGGACAGCTTTGCTTTCCCAAAATGTATCACTATATACATCCATTGCATGTAAAATATATTTAACTGCTGCATTTATGGCTAATGTGATAAGTAAAGCATATTCAAATCCAAACACTAACTGTACAGATGGACCTTTAGTTATTGTTGTTATATATGCATCATGAACAAAATAAATATCAGCTATTGTTAAAATTGTCAGCAAAACTATAACATAACAAATAATAATTCGAGTGATATTACGATATTTAAATTTTTTAGCCAAATATCAATTTTAATAATTTTTAAGTAAACCTTTTTTTATAGCATTTTTCAAAAAATGCAGTATGATATTTTTAAATATTAACTTGATTGATAAGAAATTTTTGTAAATTTTAAGTTTGAATTTCAAATGAATCGAACACAATAAATTTGGTTTGAAGATCATTAAATAAATCAATTTTTTTTCCTTATCTTTATCTTAATTATGAAATATTTCAATTATTGTATATTTCACAATTTTTACAAGTTAATTAGTAAAAAACTTAAATTAACTTAATATTTAGTATATGATTAATAGTTTATTGTAAAATGTTCATAATTGATGTGAAAATGTTAGCCTTGTATACCCCTACTATTAAAAGATTTAACTATCAGGAATTTGAAATTTTTGAAGAATTATAATTTTTCAACTATAATTATAGTTATAATTATCATACATGAAATCACCCCTTATAAATGATGATAATGATTTTTATTAATATTATTATAATCATAAATATTAGCAACATGTATTTTATGACTCATAAATTAATGATACAAAATCTAATTATTTTTAAGCATTAAGATATATCAAGTATATTGAATGGGTTATTGATACTAAAAAAAAATTTTTACTACTTACACCAAATACGAATGTGAAATATATATGATATAACAGGTGTTCGTTCCATCTATAAAGTTAAAAATGATTTTATTTATGATAGAATAGATAATATTATCTTTTATATATTACTTACATAATCTACCCGATCTTCTGCAAGCCAGTGAAAGCATTTTAGGAATAATAATAAAGTAAATAAAGCCACGAATTTTGGACTTAAATCATCTTTGAATATAGTAAAAGCTAAACAAGTTTCTGTGACTGCATACCATGCTTTTTCAATTAAACGCTAGAATATAAATTTTTGGAAAAAATTTTGATAAATAGTACTAAGAGATTAAGTATTAATTATTAATACTTACTTCAGTTTCAGCTGCTCGTAAGGTACCAAAAAATAATTTTCCAGCTAATTTACCTATTAAATACACAGCCACTAATGCTTGCACATACATGACCTAAAATTTTTAAATTATAAATATTTAATAAATTTGAATAATTGTGTTCATACCGCCATGCTTGGGTTTGATTTACAAATATAAACCACAGATGGATAAAATTGTTTCTTCTGACGAAATGCATTAGCAATTACACAACAAGATAATCCTAAACTAACTACTACAGCAGTAACACTTGTCATTTTAACTGCAGCAGATGTAGTTGTCGTACTCATTTTCTAATAACACCAGAAATATTAAAATTCAATCATAGCAAACAATAATTTAATTATTTTTTTGACTTACAGTAAAATGACTCTAAAGATTCACTAATTTTTTTAAAAAATTGAATTAAACAAAAATGACAACAAGCTCGATTTGTTGATTCCATAAAAAAACTTTTGAATAATGAAAAAGCGCACGTCAGTAAATATTTTTATCAGAAGTTTTATTATTTATTTATCTGTATTATCATAGAATATTCTGTGTTATAATCATAGATATAGATAATAAACTTTATTATATATACCTGTGGGTATAATATCAATTTATATACTTATAAATGTATTTATATGCTACAATATTGTTATCTTGTTATGTTTAGTGATGTATTATCATAATTATTCTAACACATAAATTCATGAAATTTGGTAATTTGAATAGGTAGTTAAAAAATATTTAAGTATATTAGCAAAATAATATTTAGAAAAAAATTAATATCTAGTTGGCTAATGAAATAAAAAATACAAAATGTCTGACGAAGAAATGGAAAAATTTGAAATTACTGATTTTGATCTGGACAATGAGTTTAACATGAATAGACCTCAAAGAAGATTGACAAAAAATCAGGCTATTTACGGTATAAAAATATATTTCAATTAATAATTTACATAAAGTTGATCAATGTTCTTATTTGTATACTCAATAAATACTTAGTTTAATTTATCCGAGTCCAAAAAGTTTTTATTAATGTCTTATGACCTATAAAATTGTTTAGATAATTATTTTTTTTTTGAAACAACAATTTAAAAATAATAATTTTATGTTCTTTGAAAAGATTAAAAACAAGAAAGCTCAATTTTTTCAAATTTAGAATTGAACAGTTCTCAGCTTAGATAAATAAGAGTACAGCTTAAGAAAAATAAAATTGAAATTAACCATACAATAAATATAATGTTTTTTATAACTTTCTAATAGATTAGTGTTCATATTAAAAATATTTAGTTTTTTTAGCTTCCTAAAAAGATATGAAAAATAGAGCATACCTTGTTTTTGCACAAAGCTTTCAAATATAATAAATTAGTATTAATAACATCATCATTTTAGGAGTTTGGGCAGATGAAGAACAAGGTGATAGTGATGTAGAACCATCAGGATTTAGTGGTCGAGGAAGGAAAGATAAAAAATATAAACAAAATTATACTGCTCCAGTATCTTTTGTAGCTGGAGGTATTCAGCAAGCTGGTAAAGATAAAGAAAAGAAAGAAAGTAAAGAAGATAATATACATGAAGAATCTGAAAGTTTAAATGTTAATATATCTTCAAGGTTTGAAAAAATTACTAAACTTTTTTTTTACTGTTATTTATAAATATTATTTATTTTATTTTTTTGTTATAAAGTGATGATGAAAAACCATCATTTAGTTTTGATATTGATCAAGAATTAGCTGGTTTGCGTAAAAAACGTTCCCAAGTTAACCCATCTTTAATAAACAAAGGTTTAGGAGATTGGGAAAAGCATACAAAAGGAATTGGAGCAAAACTTTTGCTAGGAGTAAATAATTTATTTTAAATAGTGAAATTGTTTTTGAAATTCTAAATTGTACAATATTTATATAATTTTAGATGGGTTATCAACCTGGTCATGGTTTGGGCAAAAAACTTCAAGGAATAACAGCTCCTATTGAAGCTAATCTAAGAAAAGGAAGAGGAGCAATTGGTATAAACAAACATTTATAAATTTTAGTATATTTTTATTTTTATTTGAATAAATAATAATATTGCTCTTTCAATTAAAGAAAAAGATCTCAAAAAAAAAAAAACATTTTGAGATAAATTATTACAAAGATTTAATTTCCCAATAGAGTTACTTTATTTTTAACATTTATATAAAGTTCAAATTTTTTTTCATAAAAACATTCTCATATTTAGGTAGAGAATAATAAACTATGTTTAATTATACCAAGATGTTAAAAAATTATATTATTTGATAACCACCCAAATGATATTGATAGTAATCTATTTTTCAAGTGTACACTTTTTGCATTGAGTACTACTAGAAAGAAAAGGAGTGGAGTTCTTGGTTATTACCTTTTCATTGTAGTTAGTATTTAAAAATACTTTTACCTGGATATTCTTGTATAGATAATGATTGACGAAGAGCAGAAATAATTAGTGAATTATAAGGTCAGGTACTTGGTTTTAGTATTTAAACAAAAGGTGTTGATTTAAAAGAAATTATTTAAATGTATGTATTAAAAGCATACGTGTTAGTTATTTTGACAAGAATATAATTAAAACAAATTAGAAATTAAAATAAGAGTTAAAAGTTTGCACAAAGATACACTAAGTTGCACTACAAGAAGGGGCCCATATCTAACTACTTTGTTAAAAAGTAATGACAATGTGGGAAGAGAATGAATGTGAAATTAGATTTTTTAGCTATTTTATAGTAAGTAGTTGTTTGTAATGATAAAACTTTTTTATCGCTTTATAACTTTTATGGTATTTCCTGAAATTTAAATATTAACCAAAATAATTTTTGGCATGATTTAACTGAATATTTTTATTTCGTTTTTAGTAAATATTTTTTAAATATCTATCGAATTACTATTTCTTCATTTATTTTGTACAAGAACTACATTTTAACTCAATTAAGAGGCTTTTTAAATTTTTTCTCAATTTAACCTCTTAATTTTAAATGTATTCTGATTTACACTCTAAAAAATATAGATTTATCAATTTTCAAGTATTTTAAAAAGTTATTGATCTAATTAATAAAATATAATAATAAAAAATTTTATTTGAATAAGTAAAGTTCAATTATACATAATTTATTTAATATTTATTACTGACAGCCAATTTCATGAAAATATAAATATTTTATTTATGAAAAACAAGACATTTTATCACCTTATTTATAATTATTCAATATTTTAACAAAATATTCTAGGAGCATATGGTCCAGAAACTAAAAGTAGGCCAATGAAATTAGATGCTGATAGATCATCTGATACGTCTAAAGATGGTGATAAACCAAAGGCTACAGTATCTAAATGGCGAAAAAAATCTAAAGCAGAAAAAACACAATATATTTATAAAACAGTTGAAGATGTAATTGAAGAAAGTAAACATCCAGGGCAAAGAAAGAGAGAATTTAAGTAAACAATTTTGATTAATTAAATTTATCAAAAATTTTTTTGTTCTATTGTGTGCTGTAATTTTAGAAATTAAATGTATATTTATATACACATTATTTGGTGTGGTATTTCAACAAGTTTTAATAACATAATAACATAAATAATTTTTAGTGAACTTAGTAGAGTGAAAGTAATAGATATGACAGGTCCTGAACAAAGAATTCTGTCAGGTTATCATGCTATATCTGGTGTAAAAAAACCAACAGATCAATGGGAAATTCGAAAAGATAAAAAATTTTCTAATTTTGATATGCCAGAATTGTTACATAATCTTAACCTATTAGTTGAAATGGCTGAACAAGTAAATCAATTAATCTTAGTTTAGTTAAACATATCTGTATAAAATAGTATTGATAATATTTATATTATTAGAATATAATTTCAAATAATCAAGAACTTTGTAACAGTGAAGATAGACTTATTGTGATAGAGAGAGAAACCAATAAACTGGAAGAATCTATTGAGGATAAAAATAAAGCAATACATTGTCTTGAAAAAATGTTAGTCGTTATGGAAGAGCTTAATAATGCTTTACAAAATAATACGCTTAACAGTAATGAAGCTATTAAGAAATTGACATTTTTAAAAGTTAGTAAAAACTAAATTTTATATTTGGTACGATGTTAAACAAATTTTTTTATTTAACTCAACCTAACTTATTCAGGAAAATTATTATCCAGATTATCGCCTAAATGGTGGTTCAATTTTAGCATCATCTATTGCTCAAATATTGATTAAAGAAAAATTATCTACATGGGATCCTTTACAAGATCCATCAATGCCTTTTGAAGAACTAAACAAATGGAAAGCTCTTTTAATTTTAGATGATCCATGTGCTATTGAAACACAATCAAGTGATGAATTTCAAAATTTAATTTGGCAAGCTTGGTTTCCTCAAGTTCAAAAATCTTGTGGGTAAGTAGATTAGGCAACAAGAAATGTATCTAAAAAAAAAAAAAAAATTACTGAAATTTAATATTTATAATAAACAGACAATGGAAGTGTCATGATTCTAATAGTATGCTAAAATTAATTGAACAGTCAGCAGAAGTTATTCCTAATTGGATAGTTATTCAAGTTTTAGAAACTATGATTTTACCCAAAATACAATCAGAAGTTGAACAGTGGGATCCATTAACAGATTTAGTGCCTATTCATGTTTGGGTCCATCCTTGGTTACCATATCTAAGTAAGTTAAAGAATATCTTATGAACATAAAAAAGTATTTATGTAATATTTTTTTTATACATTTTATTTTAGGTAAACATTTTGAAACTATTGTTTATCCTACTATTAGACAAAAGTTAAGTGTAGCATTAAATGCTTGGCACCCATCTGACAATTCTGCTAAACTCATGCTTCAGCCTTGGGTAAATGTATTTCAACAAGGTCATATGGAAGCATTCTTAATTAACAATATAGTTCCAAAATTGCAAGCTGCTCTTCAAGCGTTTGTAATAAATCCACATCATCAACAATTAGGTAAAAATTACATTATAATTAAATAATTATATTATGTTTGTTAAAATAAGCCTTTGATATTTTTTTGGTTTACAAATTTTTTTAGTACGTAATTAGTTTTTAAATTATATTAATACATTTTTCTCTCTAATTTTTGAGAAATACCTATTTATTTGAAAAGATAATTTTAAGTCAAATAAAAAAAGAATAGTTTTTTCTCTTGTAAAAAGTTGGGGACAGTACACATAAATTCCTTTTAATAAAAGACAATTTAATTAATACAATACTTTAAGTTAGACATATTGAAATTTTAAATTATGACTAAATTTGCATTATTTTAATTAGATAATTGGAATTGGGTTAGTACATGGATAGATTTATTACCTGTAAATACTTTGGTGTCGCTTCTCGAACAGCACTTCTTCCCTAAGTGGCTTAAAACACTTACCATGTGGATAAATATGAATCCAAATCATGAACAAATAAGTAACTGGTATACTGGATGGAAATCATTAATGCCTCCTTCAATTATTGAACATCCATCAATTAAAGGTCAATTTCATGCTGCTTTGGATATAATGAGTAGAGCAGTAGGAGGACCTTCAATGCCAGCACCACCTCCACCTCCTACAATCCATGTAAAAATTTATACTAAATCTATTATTATCTATTAAATATATTATTATTATCTAAATCTATTATTATTTTAATATTATCTATATTATTAAATATATTATTAAAATATCATAATTATTTAGGGTGGACTAGCTGAAGCAGTTCGTACTGCAACTCAAATGCCCCATGGTTTTAAAGAACTTGTTCAAAAACGATGTGAAGAACGAGGTATATTATGGATGCCAATTCCTGGTCGTTATAGAGAGGCTAAACAAATTTATCGATGTGGAGCAAGACTGCAAGCATACATTGATCGAGGAGTTTTGTTTGTAAGCCAAGATGGTTCTAAATTTGTACCTACATCTGTTCAGTCCATGCTTGAATTGTGTGAATAAAAACATTTAAAAAGCCTATAGACTTAAATATTCTATACATTTGTATTTTTAATTTAAATGTATATTTACTTTTACTCAACAAGTTTTGTAAAATATAACAAAATATTAAACAATGTTCATCATTAAATATTTCTAGAGTATGTGTAAATATTGATTTTTAAAATTTTTAAAAAATACTTTTCCTCTTATAACCTAAAAAACCTAAACTTTCTTTAATAAAAAAGGAAACAAGCTCACGAATTAAATATATTTATTAAAGATAAACCATCAAATATTTTTGTCTAAAATTTACAACTTTAAGTTTAGTATAAACATTAAACGATTATAGTAAAAAAGTTTTTCTGTTTTTTGTCTCCTGAAAATTTTAAAAACATAGACTTGATTTTGCAGTTAGCGATTCATTTGAAAAAAGTTATTACCAATAAAAGTTTATATGGCATACATTATTTTGTGTCATTCATAAGAATAAATTGTTTATTTATTAAAAATTATAAAATCCATTGAATAAAATGTGAAATAAAATATAATTGCTATCATGGGCGTAACTAGGAATTTAAGGGCTGAAGTAAACAGTTTTTGAAACCTATTTAATCGCCCAAAGTTTTATATATGCAATGTTAAGCAAAAAAAAAAAATTCTTGAATCAATTCTGTTCTTTAATGATAAGTACTTCATATATACTTCTTTCATTCGACATACTTTTTTTTTTTAATTGATCTATTTCCCTTACAGGAGGGGTTCAACCTTTTAAAAATTCGTATAAAAAGTAGAACTTTTTTGACTTAACTTCTAAAAATGTTAAGGAAATACTGACACTTTTTACATACTTTAACTTAGAGCTTATGTACTAGACTTTATTTTGAAAAAAAAATTTGACCTCTGGACTTGTCTTTGTGGTGAAAACTGACATCAAAGTTAAAAAAAACGCACGATTTCCATGAAAAAATTCTCGATTTTACATATTATATTATTAAATTTATATTACTATAACTTTTGGAAAAATGTATGGATCAATATTATTTTTTTTTTATAAATAATTTTTTTATACTCTTTTCATCTGAAACACTTATTTTAGCTTCGATACGAAACTGAGAAGGTATTGGTTTTACTAAGATGTGTTTATTTATTTTTTTTTTTTTGTGTCTGTTACCACTTTTTCTCAGCTCTCACCGAATCGATTTCTTTCAATGATACGTCAAAAGATCACAAATCGTATCTAGTCGAAGACATAACCCTCAAAAATTGGAAAAAATTTCCTCGTTCCCCGTAAATGGGGGAAACCTACAAAAAAATTACAAATTTAAAAATGGCTAATTTTCGAAATTTTTTCAATTTTTTTTACTTAAAAGTGCCATTACTTTTTTAAAAATAGCCAAATCAATATAATTTTTTTTTTATAGATACCTTAGGTATTCACCTATCTATTTGTGAACATTTGACCCTTTACAAGCCCACAGGAAGGGTTTCAAAATGGTAACTTTTTTACAAAAAATTAACTTTTGAAAATGTTCCCTCGTTCCCCGTAAATGGGGGAAACCTCCAAAAAAATTACAAATTTAAAAATCGCTTATTTTCGAAATTTATTCAATTTATTTACTTAAACTGCCATAACTTCTTCAAAAATGGCCCAATCAATATCAATTTTTTATATAGATGCATGATATCATTACCTTTTATTTGGTATATTTTTTTTTATATCTGACCCTTTACCTACCCACGGGGGGGATTTAAAATGACAACTTTTTCACAAAAAATATAATTTTTTCAACTTGACTTTTGAAAATGTTCCGAAAAGTCTGACACTTTTATATATATCTTAAATTAAAGCTAATGTAATGTACTTTATTATGCAAAAAAAAAAGTTTCAGACTTTATTTTGTCTTCACAGTGAAAATGGCTACCAAATGCTATTATTGTGTGAAAATTCTCGATTTTATTTTTCACATATTTAACTTTATAATGATATAACTTATTGAACAGTGTATGGATCAACACAATTTTTTTATGAGAAATAATATTTTTTTTTATCCCTCTTTCATTCGACATACTTTATCTTTATCAAAATATTAATAAGGAACTAGCAGATCATGTAGCTTTTGGAATAATCCACCAATTTTTTAAAATTAAACACTATCTAAAGATTTGCATCAAAGCGTTTTTTTTTTATAGTGATTTTACCTATCATTTGATATCTTTTTGTGATCATTTGACCCTTTACCAGCCCACAGGAAGGGTTTTAAAATAGTAACTTTTTCTACTTAACTTTTAAAAATGTTCCGGAAATACTGACACTTTTATATGTATCTTAAATTAAAGCTTATGTAATATACTATAATTTGAAAAAAAAATTTGACCTTTGGATTTATCTTCATGGTAAAATGATAACCGTATTCAAAAATGTGTTATTTTTGTGTTAAAATTCTGGGTTTTGTATTTTATTATATTTTAAAATAAACTGACAAGGGGAATAAATAGATTTTTATAAATATTATATAAATAAATTTGATATAGCATAGAAAGTTAAACTTATTTAAATTTTTTTTGCTTTTTTATAGTCGATGGAAGCGTTGTACGGTTGACGAGTCGGTAAAACTTGTGTTTTATGCGCTGGGGTACAAGGTTCCAACCCACCTATGACAAGGAATATTTGCATTTTTTTTCTTAATTCTTTTTAAGTTAGAATAAATATTCAACTTCTTTGATATTTATCTCCTTTTGATTCAATAACTTCAATAAAGATCAAGGATCCCATCACTTTAATCGCCCCATGCGAGAAGATATTTCTTAGTCATATTAAAATTATTTTACTAGATTTTAAGTGTTAGCTTCGATACAAAGCTGAAAAGATATTTTTTTGTGACTATCATTTATTTTCTCTGCTCTAACTTGACCTACATTTTTCAACGATACGTCAAATGATTACAATTAGTTAAAGTGAAGATATTACCCTCAATAATTTAAAAAAAATTCTAATCTATTAATAAAACATATACTTATCCCATGTTCTCCATAAAAACAATTAAAATCATTCATTTTTAATATTTTCAAAGTATTTATTGACGAATCAAGTTTGATATGATAGGTTTTAATTACAAAATTAAATCATTTTACTTTGTAATTTAATAATTTTTTTACTCTATTTGTGTGTGCTACTACTAGACTATAATATTCCAAATTTTTTGGTAACATGTTGCTATATGAATCATTTCTAAAAAATATGATTGTTAGTTTCTCCTGAATTAACAATGGATTTTTAGATCTTTTTAACAATTTTTAGCTTCGATGCAAAGCTGAGAGGGTATTAATTTTTTCATGATGTGTTTTTTTTTTTATATCTGTTACCACTTTTTCTCAGCTCTCACTAGACCGATTTCTTTTAACAATACGTCAAAAGATCACAAATCGAATCTAGTTGAAGACATTACCCTTAAAAATTGAAAAATTTACCCTCGTTCCCCACAAATGGGGGAAATCTTCAAAAAAATTACAAATTTAAAAATTGGTAAATTTTGTCATTTTTTTCACTTTTTTTCTTAAAACTTCTATAACTTTTTAAAAAATCAACAAATCAACATAATATTTTTTTATACTAAAACCTTAGATACTTCCCTTTCATTCGACATACTTTTTTTTTGATTGGACGATTTCCCTTAATATAAGGCATGGGCGACCGCAGGAAATTTATCAGGGGGGGCCAAAAAAAATTAAATATCAAAAAGTAACATTAAATAAAGTGTTTATTAACTGAAAATTGCAAAAAAAAATATATATATATATATAATTATTATATATATTCATGAGTCATTACTAAATAAAAATTTTCAGATTATACAAATTGAAATCAGATTGGTAATAATTTTTAAAAATGTATTTCCAAACTCCAGGGGGAAGCAAACGCCCCCTCTTGCCCCCCCTGTGGGCGCCCATGATACAAGGGGTTTCAAAACTTAAAAACGCATATAGAAAGTAGAGCTTTTTCAACTAAATTTTTGAAAATGTTCCGGAAATACTGACACGCCTTTTATATATATTAAATTAAAGCTTATGTAATATACTTTATTATGAAAAAAGAAATATTTCAGACTTGAAACTTGTAATCAGGATATAAATAAGGAAATAGGAAATTAGGTAGCTTTTGGAATATTCCACAGATTTGCATCAAAGCATTTTTTATGATAGTGATTTTAATCACTGTCAGATATCATTATACTTGATCCAACTATGCTAAGACCCACTGTGTTGGGATTTTTAAATTAAAACACGTGTTAATTTTTAAAAAAATCGAATTTTTCCTTATCCCAAATATTATTTTTATATAACAATAAATATAATTATTTAAATTTTGTCTAAAATCGATGTGATTTTTAACTAATTTTTTTTTTAAATACTAGTTTTAAAAATAAAAAAGTTTAAGGATAAAACACCAAAATGTACAAAACGAATGAAAAATTTTTTTGTCATCATTAATATTTTATTCCTGATCTGTTGAAAATTGATTTTTAGCTTTCCCTTGCATCACCAATCAATAAAAAAATGATTTTAAGAGATTTTAGCCGAAAATAAATTTTAAATGTAATAAAGTTTTATAAACTAAAAACTAAAAAAAACTCTACTAATTTTTTAACCAAGCTAGTAAATTTATAATTTAGTAACTTTTAACTTTTAATTTATCGACATTGTTCTTACTTAACTTAAGTTAATTATTTCGATTAACTTATCCATCTTTATACAAATGTATAATATTATGTATATTACATATACAAGTTTAATTTTTTAAATTAACTATAACTAATTGAAAATAACATTTTTATTTGTAAATATTATTTTTAACTTATGAGTCAGGAAGTTAGTATAATATAATATTACAGTAATGAAATAGGTATATCTATACCTCTACAACTTTTAAGTTCTTAGTATAAACTTTATACTATACTGAGTAGTCATAGGTACTTTTCCACTATCTAATTTTTTTATTTAATTAAAAATCGTGATGTGATTTTTTGTTTCCAAAGAAAACCTTATATAAAAACATAAACAATCAGAATATTGGACTTAAGAGAAAAGATTAATAAAAATACATTATTAATGTATCCAATAAATAGTTATTAATGAAACAACCTAGTATTTTATGAGTTATTCAATTTCCATAGTTTATTGTCAGCCGGCCATAAATGCCAAAGACTATAGCTACATCTGTGCGATAATTAGACAACTTCTTATGGGAACCATCTGGTTATTTGTGTTCTTGTCTGGTGGTACGAATGTATTATAACTAAGTACACTCGTAACAGACTATATGAAAACATTTTTTATATAGTCTGTAATCATCTCTTAACTTTGAATTTCTATGTAAAAATTATGAATTAATCTATTTATCAATTGTTAAAGGATGGATGTTGATTCATCAAGTGATGAAGAAATTGTAGAAGAAAACTATATTCATGTTACTGTAGACAATCCTGATGAATTTAATGCTTTGAATGTGTACAGTAATGCACGCATTATTGGAATAGATACAGAGTCTCCCATATTGCAAGTACATAATAAGGTAATCTAGAAATAAAAAATAATCTGAAAAATTAAAAAGTTAAATTTATGCGAGAAAAGTATGTAATATTAAAAAATTGTATTCAGAAATGATTACTAATCAAATAAAAAATAAAGATTGTATACAAATAGGCATGGTGTAGTGCAGTGGATCATTCAGTTGCTGTCTTAGCATTGATATTCAGCTGTGTTGTTTACTGTTCCCAGATGGGTTACCATTTAGGAATTTTAACAGTGACATACGTCTTGCCCCATACTTGTTCTTTTAGCCATAATGAGATTATGAAAACGTGACGTTTAGTATAAAATTCCATCAAATCATTAGGCAGAGCTGATCTTAATTTGTTCGGGTAGAGGGTATTGTGATAATGATAAGGGTTGTATACAAAATAAAACACCTTCTAAATTTAAATACAAAAAATCAGTTTTTATAATGAATGCCTTTTTTAAAAAATATATTAAATTATGTCTATATTTCCTTCATAAAAAAAATTTTTTTTGGCCCTATTTATTAGTAAATACTAAATAATCCGTTTATTATAAACTGCTCAAAATAAATACAATATTGAAAAAGAATGTCTGCTTTATTTAGTTCCTTATATTTCTTGATTTATCAGCTATTAATTACTTTTTGGCATTATTTTCCTTATAACTTTTTTATACATGTAATTTTAATTTTTTTTTAATATCAACATACTTATTTAATTAGCTTATAAAATAGATAATAATGAAGTTGATGATTTTTTTATTGTTAAATCAATTATATTTTTGTTACTGGATCAAAATGTTTGATAAATTTATTATTGTAATGACAAAAAATTATTGTCGATATGACTATTTATATCATTTTACATTTCTCAACCACATATAAAAATGTTTATAATTTCTGATGTACTGGTTCAAAGTAGTTATTGACCTATCATTTTCTTAGATCATTTCCTATTTTTATAAGCTAGTTAAATATTTGTGTTGTTATTTAAATAAATAAAGTTGACACCCCTATAAGATATAAGGGATGAACCTAAAAATTATTTTATAACAGATAAATGGAAATATATATGTTACCATTAAAAAAAATTAAAATGAGATTTCTATAAGTTATAAGGATAATGCCAATAAATAATTAATAGCTGATAAATAAATAAATATATGAAACTAAATAAGACCAATATGTTTTTCAATATTGTATTTATTTTGCGAGTAATTGAGCTGTTTAGGATCATCTATATAGTGTAAAACTAAAATAAAATTTAAAAATAGTGTGTACAATTTTTTCAGATATATCATTGTAACGAATGGAAGTATATAGATGGGACAGCTATATTTTTTGAACAACTTGAAGAGAAAGAACCTATTGATCCTTTATATGATAATAGAAGCGACATGAAATTACTATTTATAGGATCAACTCGTAAATGTTTGGAATTGACTAAGAAAGATGTAGCATTTTCTCATTCTCCATAAAATAAGCAAGAAGAACAGTATTTTTATTATTAAAAAATGTAGAATATTGTCTTGTTTTCCAACAGTCAAAATACTAAGAAATAAAGAAGCGTGTACAGTATGTAAATAAAAAAATAAACAATTTGAAACCATGTATTGTTTGTTAATTTTAAGTTATCTTTCATTTTTTAAATCAGATATAATTTTACCAAAAAAATTCTTGAAGATATTTGAAGTTGGTAAATTATGGTATTATACGTGGGAAAATTTTAATATATTGAAAATGGTTTTATTAAAAATTTTACTATTAAAAAATATTTTCAAAAAATAAAAAAATATTTGTATCTTCATTTTTATTGTTGAAGTGTTGTTCAAATTTATAGACTAATCATTAAAATTTGAATGATACAATTTGGTTAACTTGATTGAAATTTAAATCTATTAAATGAGATTTATAACCTCAATAAAATAAATGATTTAGTCCAAACCATTTCATTTACATTAATTTGTATAAAAAAAACAGTAGGAAAACCAATTTTTTTTACTCATATTTTAATTGTTACCAAAAGTCGTTTTTAAAGTGAATATTTAAGTATATGAATATACTAACTCAGTTAAATTTAGTTTAAAAATAGTTATTCTATAACAACTTTCAAATACTTCTTTGTAATTATCAAAATTTATAGATAACTTTTAAATGTATCTTATTTTTTTTGATAACTCAAATTATAAACAATAATTTGTTATCTATGATTTTTATAAGAAAAAATTTAAGTTCACACTAAAAAAAAAAATTATTCAAATTTTTATCAACTTTATTCAAATATAAATTTAAACTATACAACAATTGTCTGAAGTATTTTAAATTTAAACTTAAAAAATATTTGGTAATCTGAAAATTTACAAAAATTTATCCAATAACATATATAAAACTAAGAATTGATAAAATGGTTTGTATTTTTTCTTTTTTTAAGATTTTGATACAATTTCCTGATCATTTTTTATCAAAGTAATGTAATTTTTCAATTGTAATGCTTTAAGTTTGCACCACACAAATGGATCACTAAGACCAATGATTCGAGAAGCAGCTAATGCAGCTCCTTCTTCTTCTCTAACTGTGACACAACCTAATCCTAAACAAATTTAACATAAAGCAATTAACTTCAAATATTTACATTTAAATCTAACAATATATAAAATTATTTTTGTCAATTAACAGCTTTTCATATAATTTTCAAATACTATTATAATGGTATTTGAATTATAAAATAATATTTAATACACATATAGACAAGAGTTTTTCATATTAAGCATTAATATAATAATATAATATAGATAAAGATAGGGTTTTGCAGATATTTATTAAGTACTGCCAATGAAAATAAAATAAATTAACAATACACTACCAGATGGTACATTAAGTGAAGACCAAATATCTTGATTAAGGTTGGATGAATTTAAAGGTGGACAATTTATAACAGGCAGATTAGTATAACCTGCAATAACTGGACCTAATCCATTACTACGTCCTGCAACAGCTATTATTACGACTGGAATATTTAAACCTAAAATATAATTTAAAATTAAATTTTAGCAAACATTAATAGATGATTCTACTATTAATACTTAAGGATTAATCAATCTCAAACTTCAAATTTTCATTCTTAATTGTTATCATTTTTATTTGGGTGTAATGTATTTTATATTATTTTAAGTTTATGGTACAAATATGTTAATAAAACTCAAAGGATTGAATAAAAATCCTTTATAAAGAAATGAATAATATCAGTGTATCTTATATACAGGGTGATTTTTTTATCATAACCCACTCAATTACTTGCAGAATAATAATAATTTAAACATTTTTTTTTTCATTATCTTTAGTTACACATTATTCTTGAATTTTTAACTATGTAATACTTTTTAAGTTCATCCCTTATGCCTTGGAAGGGGGTCAACTTTGTTTTTTTAAATGGTAACACATATTTTTAATTTAATAAAATGTTTGAGTTTTTAATTTAATAGTAAATGGCATTTGAATTTTTAATATAACTTAATTCGTTTATTAGATATAATCATTTAAAGTTTCAAATTTTTGAATTAATATACAGGTATAATACACAAGGGATTACAAATACAGGTAGCTAATTGGTTTTTTATAACATCGATATTAGCAGGTACACAGCATTGTTATTATCAATTGTAGTAAGGCACATTGTTATGAGTTTATAAATACACTAACTGACAATACAGAAAGTATATCTATTGATAATCATAATTGATAATAAACAATCCGTGACTGAGACAGCAATGTCATAAAAATCCAATTAGCTACCTGTATTTACAATCCCATGTGTATTATACATGTATATTAACTCAAAATTTTGAAACTTTAAATGTTTATATCTAATAAGCTAATAAAGTTATATTAAAAATTCAAATGCCATTTACTATTAAATTAAAAACTCAAACATTTTATTAAATTAAAAATATGTGTTACCATTTAAAAAAACAAAGTTGACCCCCTTCCAAGGCATAAGGGATGAACTTAAAAAGTATTACATAGTTAAAAATTCAAGAATAATGTGTAACTAAAGATAATGAAAAAAAAAATGTTTAAATTATTATTATTCTGCAAGTAATTGAGTGGGTTATGATAAAAAAATCACCCTGTATATATATTTTTTTTAATGCTTCATAAGATCATTTAGGGTTGTAGAGCCCTCCCCCCAAAGGAGGAGGTGTTTTAACTATTGATAATCCAAGACAGGTGGTTAGTCTGTAGCTGGAGAAAGGGAGGCACTCCAATTTTCAAACTGATCTCTCGTTTGGTAAATGAAGCCGCCTGTGAATGAGTTTTGAACTCGAGGCAGTGCGCATCAAGCACTACTGCATTACTGAATCAGCTACATTGTCCCTCTAACAATGAATTATCAATCATTTTTATAGTGAATAACTGTTTGCATAAATAATGTACATGGTTGGAAAAACTGTAAGTTCAAAAATTTGGTTTTTTTTTAGATTTGTTTGTTGTGCAGTACTAAATTGTATACCATACCATTTAAATTTTAATAATAGACTATTTAAATAAAATTTTAAATACCTTCATATTTATCAACCATACTTAAAACAAACTGAGTACTTTTATGGGCTGAACCAATTCTAATTTCTGTATTTATACCCATAACATTTTGTGTGAATTGTGCTATTTTTTTACCAAAGTTTTCATCGCTAGGTGAACCCATTACAATTACAACCTAAAATAGATTAACAATAATTTGATAGATAAAAAAAAATATGTAAAAATGAGAAGAGTTAAATACCAAACTATTAGGATGTTGAGTTAGACTTTTAACTTGTTCAGCAACCCATTTAAAATTTGTTTTAATAGTTTCCATATCAGCTGCAGTTACGGTACTTAAATTTCTGTATACTTGTTTGTCAACCATGAGTCGTTTATCTCCACTTGGCCAAAGCCTCCAAGAATCATTATCAATAACATCAGCCACAAGTATTTTTCCTATATTTACAAATTAATATTTATATAATATTTAATTTGACAGAATATTTTATATATTAAAAACTTTACCTTCACTATTGATTCCAAATTCTATTTTCATGTCTACCAAAGCAACATTTTTAGCAGCCCATAATTTTTCTAAGACTTCAAAGACACAAAGGGTGATTTTTTTCATAATATCATATTCAGCATTTCTAATAACAATATTTCCAAAGTGAAAATTTGCAGATAATAATTGTTGCTCAGACCATTGTGGATCATCATTTTTATCATCCTATTATTAAAATAAATTTATAAAATTGTTTATGAAAATTTTTATATGATAGCACATGTGTATACTTTAAAAAATGTTTCTATTAATGGAGGAGAGAAACGATAACCTTCTTTAACTCCTGGATTTCTTTTTAAAAATGATCCAGTAGCAATACGCCGGGTGACCCATTCAATAGGAACCATATCACATTTTTGACTAATAAATGTATTTTCATATGAACCATTTTTTGAAACAAAAGCAGTTGGTATACCTTAAAGACAATAAAAAATTATATTTGATAAAAGTTAGAAAGTTATCAATCAAATAAATTACAAGTTGACCAATAATATACCTAGATCATTCAAGATTTTAAAAATAGTAGTTGTTGTGTCCGTAGATATAACTGCTTTTCCTTCCATGTCATCACCTTTAGCACCATTCCAAGCAGTAATTCTATCTTTACTTACCATTAAAACATTTTTAGTGTCTAAAATTTCATAAACAACTTTAGTTTTTCCTTCAATAATAACATTTCCCAAATTCAAACCTATCAAAAAAATTATTTTAAATCATTGTTTGTATAACAAAAACATATAGAAGCATATTCCATAATGTATTTACCATATATTTGAGCCATTTTTATTATAAAAAAAAATCAATCACAGACGAGATAGGTTATAATTTATTTTAATTTATTAGTATTTTTGAAATACTAAATTTAAACTATGAATTATTAATAGGATTTCAGGAATGAACAAAATCAAATAATTATTGAATTCCAATTCAGTGCAACAACAATAATTGAACAGATTTACACAAGATATGATTAAAACAGACACTTTGGACTTTGAATTGACAGCAATTGTGATAAATATTCATAAATTAAAATTTCAATCTAATTTCTCCCGCCTTTTTATCATTTCACTTGTGATCTTAATGATTATATAAAATTTTATATTAAAAATTAATGGTCGACAGGTGTGAAGAGACCATAATGATAAAAAATAACCTCAAATTTTGTAAACACGCTTACATGTTGTCCTATTTTAGCGCGCTTTATGAAAAAAAAACGTGTTGATTGCTACACCGATGGTCAAGAGGTATTTTTTCCAAAACTTGTATTTTGGAGAATTGACTTTAGTTTTTTTAGGTACAATGTTGATTAATCCTCATTGATGTATTTTAATGAAAATTGTTTTTACGAGTCGCAGTTCATAATTTAAATAAACTTGTAAATTTATAGAGTATTTAATTAAATTTTCATTTTAACAACATTTAAACGGAATTAGAATAAATTATTAGTCAAAAATAGTTTTTATTATTTCGTTATTATGTTTTTTATCATTGAAATATATGTGATGAATTTTTATTTTTAAGTTTAATATCAAAATATAAAATAAAGTATATATCATGGAATCGTAATATTGATATTTCGGTTTATTATCATATAATATTTTTACCATATATGTTCTTTCATTTTTAGTGTTATTTTAAATTGAGTTATTCTCATTATTCCGTGAACTAATGGACGTCATCTTCGTTAATTTTGATAAACTTAGTTCATGGTCAAATTAATTAATTTGTTATGTGGTCTCGGGTTATTTATCAATAAAACAAACATGAGATTTATTATCATAAATATCTATAGGCCATTAGAACATTATTTAAAAGCTTATTGTTGGAGATTTAGTCATGTTACATTTAATGTTACCTTTCTTTTTAATTACCAAATAATAAAAAAAAAAAAATAGCTGTGAAGTTTTGGTATCAGATTCTATATGTCTGTAAATATTTATCCATATATTAATTTTTAGTTAAAGTAATCTTTCAAATAAAACGCGTGAAAAATATTCTTTTGATGATTATTACTTAAAATTTTTCTTTCTCATTATTTTTCAGTTCAGCATGTCTATTGAAGAATATGATAGAGAATTACGCCATGAATGTGGTGTATTTGGATGTGTTGCTTCAGGGCCTTGGCCTACCAATACAGATGTTTCCCAAGTTATTTGTCTTGGATTGTTAGCTTTACAGCATCGGTACTTGCCATTATTTGATTTTAATCATTGGTGTATGTTGGATCTTATAAGACTGGCTTTTATATAAACTGTATTATTAATTTATAACATATAATTTTGTTTTTCAATGATACTTAAAGTATATGTTATCAAGTATTAAGCTTAAGAAAAATTAAATGTTTAGGGGACAAGAAAGTGCTGGTATTGCAATGAGTGTAGGAGACAATCATACTCAGTTCAATGTTAAAAAAGGAATGGGTTTGGTTAGCAATCTTTTTAATGATGATGCTGTTAAAAAACTTAAAGGTTTTAAACTATTATTATGATTAATTTTAAGTTGTAGTAATCCTATTATGAAATTACATAGGAAATCTTGGTATTGGCCATACAAGGTACTCTACAAGTGCTGGTTCTGAGGAAATAAATTGTCAACCATTTGTGGTTCATTCTGCTCATGGTGCTCTAGCTGTAGCCCATAATGGAGAATTATTTAATGCCGGAAAATTAAGACGAATGGTAAAGAATCATTTTTATAAAATATTTTTTGATGTTTTCTGATTATTGTAATTTAGGTACTAGCAAGAGGAGTTGGTCTTTCTACTCATTCAGACAGTGAATTAATTACTCAAGCACTTTGCTTAAATCCTCCAGAAATTGAAATTGATGGTCCTGATTGGCCTGCCCGTATAAGACATTTTATGGAGCTAACCAGATTGTCTTATTCACTTGTTATAATGGAAAAAGATAGAATTTTTGGTGTTAGAGACCCTTATGGTAATAGACCTTTATGTATTGGCAAGTTAATGTCATTAACACAATCTGATAAAGGTAATTTATTTTTATATTTTATTAATAAGTACATATAAGTACTAAGTTACTAATTATGAATAATTAGGAGAAGAACACTTTTATAATTATCTTGTTTATTCTATGTATTAATATGTTATACACTTGAAAAGTTGAACATCAATTATATTTGAAATTTGATTACTATTACATTTGGAGTGTTTAGTATAACACTTCAAATAGCAAAATCTTTTTGTTGGATAATTTAGTAATAATAAATAAATCATAATTTTTTTAGGTCCAATAAATTCCCATTAACATTAATTATATATTTTTGTTCTTTGTTACTGATAATTGTCCAATTGGCAGATAAATTTTACATTATATAGCATATGAAGTAAACTAATTTTTTACTGGTGCCTTTAAATTACTCCCATGTAGCTCAAATGCTAGAAGTTTACTGTCCAAATGATTGTAGAACATAATATCAATCTTCTTCTACTAGGTTTGTTAATAATATTAAATAAAATCTCTTTTTTTTAGTTTTAGATTTTAAATTAATTTATTTCTAGTTATTCACTATAAAATGTTATTTAATTGATAAATTATTGCTTAAATATAGACTATTACAAAAAAAAATATTCATTATAAAGTTAAATTAAAATAGTAACACTAAATTTTGTCTGGCAATGTAGCCTGAAGTGCAAAGAAAAAAAATCTCATAATTCAGTCAAAAATCATCAGATATCATCAAAATGTTTAAGGTATCTTTGAATTGTCTCTGGGCAGACCTAGTAAAAATTTTAATTTTATGTTGAAAAAGGCTGGTGGCACTAATATAATTTTTAAATGCAGTGTACTAAAAAAAATTTCTCATCTTCGGAAATAATTTTTTCAAAATGACATTGTTAAGCTCTTTTAATAAATTGGATATTATTTGAAAAGCTTGAGGATTTATCCATGTTTGCAGTTGATTGCTGACGTTTCGGACTCTGAAATGAGTCAGAAACGTCAGCAATCAACTGCAAACATGGATAAATCCTCAAGCTTTTCAAATAATATGACAATCCATGAAAATTTCAACACATTCATAAATTGGACATTGTTAAGTAATTTTTTCAACATCATAATAAAATCATAATAGTTGCATAATAATCATAAATTATTTGTTTTGAAATTATTTACTGTAGTAAGATTTATCATTCTTCATTTATTTATATTATAACAGAAGAAGGCTGGGTTGTTTCATCTGAATCTTGTGGGTTTTTATCGATTGGAGCTCGTTATATAAGAGATGTGTATCCTGGAGAAATAGTTGAATTAACAAGAGAAGGCTTTCAAACAGTGTCTATTATGAATAGACCAGATAATCGTCCTCAAGCTTTTTGTATATTTGAGTATGTTTATTTTGCCAGACCTGATACTATTTATGAAGGCAAGTATTTTTAATTATTAATTAGTAAGTCTGAAAAATCAATAAAGGCAATGTTTTGCTTATTCAAAGTATTTTATTTAGTAATTGTAGTATTAACATATATATATAATGAGCATGTAAAGCATTTAAATTTTTTTTTCTTTATTCTGTTCTCATTTTATTGGTTCCTAAAATACCTATGTTTTATATTACAAGAAAATATTATTTAATTGTCCATTAAAAAAAAATTTTTATACTTTTATTTAAAATACAAATACTAGTATTTTATTTGTTTTTAATATACAATTATTTTGTATTTTTTTTATAGTTCTGTTTTATATAATTCTGTGGAAATATTGTAAAATTGTTCTCTGTAAAATTTATATGCATTTGTATGTTAAACAATGTTTGTTATTTTAACTTTCAACATTAGGTAACATTAATACATATATTCTTACTTGCACTTGTGTTGAAGGTCAAATGGTATATTCAGTTCGTTTAAGATGTGGAAAAATGTTAGCTAAAGAAAGTGTAGTAGAAGCTGATATTGTAAGCTCAGTTCCTGAGTCTGGAACAGCAGCTGCTCATGGATTTTCTAATGAAGTATTATATAAACATTTTTATGAACATTACATAATACTTTCTTAATTATTAAATAAATGTTTAGTCCAAAATTCCATTTTCTGAAGTTTTATACAAGAATCGATATGTAGGTCGCACTTTTATACAACCAAATGCTCGTTTGAGGAAATTAGGCGTTGCAAAAAAATTTGGAGCAATAGCAGAAAATGTAGCTGGTAAAAGAGTGATCCTCATTGATGATTCTATTGTGAGAGGAAATACTATGGGTCCAATTATAAAACTCTTAAGAGATGCGGGTGCTAAAGAAGTACATATTCGTGTAGCTTCTCCGCCTCTAAAATATACTTGCAACATGGGTATTAATATACCTACTAAAGATGAGCTCATTGCCAATCAAATGACAAATGAGCAATTAACCAAACATATAGGTAATATTTTGCAAATTAAATTTTGATATTTAAATCAAGTAATATGTGTTATAATTGTAGGAGCTGATAGTTTGGCATATTTATCAGTAGAAGGTCTAAAAGCAGCAGTAATTGATAAAATGCCAAATAAAAATTCAATAGAAGTTGGACATTGTACAGCTTGTCTTACAGGTGAATATCCTGAAGAACTTTCATTTTAAATTAAAAAAACTTTTTATTTTAATAAAGTATTATTACAAATTTAATTCTTCGTCTCATTGTTTCCTTTTAAATTTAATTGAGAAATTTTTATTATGTGTAATAATTTTTAAATTTATTAATCCAAAAAATTTTTTTGAGTAATAGATTATAATTTTTTGATTAAAAAATTTAAAACTTAGTGAAAGTAGCTTATAAATAAATTTTTATTGTTCATTATATAATGTTGAATTTATGATGAATTTTATAATATTCATTTAAATACATTAGATAAATAGATGGTTTATATAGTATTTATCTATATATTGTATCTATACAATATAAATAATATCTATAGATAGATGAAATTACATTAATTTAGCTTTATGTGCTCATAACTTATAACAATGCATACAATATTATTACTATGTTGTTCATTTTGAGTAGAATATTTTGTTATGGAACAGGTCAAATCAATATAAGCTTCGATTATTAAAAAATATATTTAGTGTTGTTAAATTATTATTATTTTTTTTGTGTGTGTCTTTATAAATATCTAGTTCCTAAAGGATCAACATTGTTCATCAATATGTCTAAAGATAATCAATATTATCTATTTGTAGCTAATTGTTCCATAATTTAGTTATGTATTAAAACAAAATAGTCTAAAGTGAAAGAAATCATTAAAATTTCAGGAATGTTGTTATCTGAACAAGCATTTAAAATTTTGATCATACTTTTTTGTTAAATATATTTTATAGAGGCTTGTCAATGATGTATTAATATTAATAAAGTTAACATTATTGTGTACTTAGTTTACAATAATTGACTAACTAAGTTATTACAATGGAATTTACTTAATTAGGTAAATCTCATTTATTGTGCCTACATCATTAGATAGAGAATAATAAACTGAATTAAACTATAAGAAAATGTTGAAAATCATATTTTTTGATAACCACCCAAATTATACTGATAGTACTATATCTTTCAAGTGTAAATTTCCCTATTAAGTAGTACAATATGTAAATTTAAATTTTTCTATTGAAGCTCTTCGTTAAACTAATTATGAAATTAAAAAAAAACTCAGCACAGTGGGGTCGCGGCACAATGGAGAAATGCAATAGTTGGGTCCAGTATAGACTTAATCTGACAGTGATTAAAATTACCATTAAAAAAAACGCTTCAATGCAAATCTGTAGGTAGTGTTTAATTTAAAAAAAAATGGTGGATTATTTCAAATGCAACATAATCTCCTATTTCCTTATTTATATCCTGACTACAAGTTTTATGATTTTTAAGTGTAATATATGTATAAATATTTATTATAGCAATTAAATATTGTATGAAATTGATATTTAATAATGTAGTATTGTAATTTTTAGGGTGAAATTATAAAAAATTATTAAGTAGTTATTACTTTTATGACAAACGTATATAAAATTTGAAGGTCTTGATACAATACTTAAAAAAAAAATTGTTTGTTATTTATAAATAAATTTACTAGTCTACAAGGATTTTTCATCTGAGACCAAAATATACTTTTCCTAACTCATTTTTGCGATGATTTCAAATCTGTAATTAGAGTTGAAATCATCGCAAGAGTTGAATATATAGCCTAAATAATAACAAAATTCTTCTAATTAATATAACAAGTATTTATGTTTGATTATTAGATTACGTATGAATAATCAATAAATAATAATTAATTAAAACTAAGTTGAAAAAGTCTACTTTCTATACGCATTTTTAAGTTTTAAACCACTCTGTGTAAAGGGAAATGGTCTGGTTTAAAAAAAAAAGTATGTCGAATGAAAGAAGTATATAAATTAGTATTTATCATAAAAAAATTGTTTTGATCCATACATTTTTCAAAAAGTTTTTAAGTTAAAAAAATTTTAAAAATGTCTATAATAAGTTAATTGTAATTTTTAATTACAAAATCTAGAATTTTTCACACAAGTAGCATATTTTAATACGGTATACATTGTCATCATGAAGACAAACTAAAGTTTGAAATTTCTTTTATGGTATAGTATGTTACATAAGCTTTAATTTAAGATATATATATAACTGCCAGTATTTTCGATATAGAATATTCAATATTTACGAAAAGATAGTGTTTCTTTCTGTCCTTTTCTCAATACGTATTTCAATGTTTAATACCGTAAAATAATACATGAAAATACAAATTTTCACAAACTTTAAGATGCTACAAATTATTTACTATTTAATATTAATAAGATATTTTTTCTTAAATTCTACTCTACAAAATAGCTGTCTTATATTTTTTTTTTACATTTTATTTATAATTTATAAAAATTAATATTTTTAATAAAATGTAAAAAAATAATTATTGAGATATAGCTATAGACCTAACGTATAACTATTATTTAAAAAAAAAATCAGCTAAAAATATTCACTGGATCAAAGTTATTTAAGTTGTCAGTGAGTGCTGGGCCACTCTGTATATATATTTATATATATATATATATATGTATTTCATGCTTGTTACTTAATGAATATATGCCATCAAAATTTAAAAAAAAGGTGAAAAATGAAAAAATTATATTATTTAATTTTTTTAATAGTGATAAATAATAAAAAAATATGCATTGAACGGAGTTTAATAAATCAACAACTATTAAAAAAAATCCTATTTTTAGGAATATTTTTTTTTTTATAATTAACTTAAGATGTGTTATAGTTGATAAAAATATCTCAAAATCTAATTAGTACATTTTTAAGAAAAATACATTATTTAACAAAACAGTAGTAGTAATATTCTTAATATTTAATTCTGTATATAAATATAATTTAATAAAAAATTTTTGTTTTGCAATACAACGCTTTTAAACTAACTTAAGATAAATGAAATCTTTTTATAGTATTGTCGTAACTCAAAAATAAAAATATAAAATATAGTGTTCTAAAAATTAAAAGGGGTCAGAATGATTATTATTGTCGGTGTAAATATGTATGTGAGAGTTACTTTTGATTCGGGGTGTAATTCGAGGGTCATAAAATAACGATGTAAAAAATCTTACCTGGTAAATTCTCTGGTTCTTATAATTATCCTTAGTGCTGATATAGGTGAAGATGATAAATAAAATACACAAGTTCAGATTTTTAGTTCACAAATTAACACATAAAATTTCGACAATGACGATTACTACGTTCGCACAACTTAATGCGGAGCACGATAAAAAAGAGCGTAATGCGGACCACGAAAAGAATAGCCCAAATACAGAGCACGAAATGAACTGCCCAATACGGAGCATGAAATGAACAGCCAGGAGCAAGGGTTTGCTCTGGCTTTTTATAATATTTTTTTACCCCCAAAAATCGTCACTGTCGAATTTTTAGTATAATTGTTTATTGATAAGTAAGCATGAAAAACAGAGATCAATACAGATGAATAGAACATAAATTAGTTTGACATTTACATATATAACATTAACATGTTTTTTTATAAGCGAGACGAAAATTGATACAATGCATTTAACTATTAATAGTAGAATAACAAAGATGACAAAAATAATATAGATTTTATTTTGGTGAGGAAGGATTTTTAAAGTAATTATTAATTGATTTATGATCGAACCGCATACACTACAATGTAGTTAAACAGTGTGAGTCTTTTGACTATTTCTCTTAAATGTCTATCTAAGTTTTTGTTCGAAAAAGGATCATGTCCTTGTAAGAATATAATGTATAATGAAACAAGTTAAAATGTACCACTTCTATGGATAGAAGTGGTGACTATTTGAAATGAAAAAGAATATATTAATAAATACTAAAAAGATAGCATTGTTGAGTACATGAACAGGGTATTTTAGTGTTATCCCATATAAATAATAGTGACGATTATATTACGACAGTATTAACTATATTAAATTTTTGTATAACAATATTATTATAATTAATACATATGCTTAGTATATAACATTTCGTATTTTCTAGAAAAACTTATTTTCTCCCATTTAGTTATTAAATTACTTTAAAAAATAGCTGCAACAAACTTGAAGTTTTCATTTTAAGAAAATACATTAAATCTTTTTTAAACACTACGAGATCAAAAATATGGTGCGGTACAATCAAAAATGTAAAAAGGCGATTTATTTAATTGTTATATTTAATTTAATTGAAATACTTAGAGCACCTTTTGTCTGTACCGGAACTTAAAGTTCTCAATCTTCTATTCACCTTATTCTCTCTTTTATGTTGCCTAAAACATGTCAAGTATATATATTACTTACAACTTGAAAAGTATTTATGCCTTGATTGTTGTAAACAACAAATAATTTACCTAAGTTTACTAATTTTTCAAGTATTTCTAATTTTATAAATGAACAAAAATAATAAAAAAAATTATAAAATTATAAATGAATCGTAACTCATAAATTACAAAATAATATTAGTTTGATGAAATATTAATAACTGTATTGTATTAACTATTATTAAAGTAAAAAATATCATATAAATGTATATTAAATATCACATAAGAGTATTTTCATGCTTATAGTTTTTTTAATTCCATGTTAATACTTCTTAAATATTTTTAATCTTCTCATGCACTTTCACTCTATTGTTTGATCAAATAACAATATTACTATTATGTGCGAGGATCACAGGTGGCAAGTAAAATTACATGTTGACACGGCCCGCGTCGCTTCGTTATACACGATGCCCCGCGACTCGTGCCACCTTTATCAGCCGTCGCCCTACTATGAGTATTTGACTGACCAACACCGCGTGTTATACGCTACGGTGCAAAGTCCAGCAAATGCCGCACGGCCGACGACGACCCGCCGCAAATGGTGCGAGAGTCTTCCTCCCGTTGTGAAAGCGACAACGTCGACAGCCGAACCGCACCCGCGCACCGTCGCCTACAACGCTGCTAACCATTTTGCCGTCCAAGGATTACGCCGAACATCGCGTCGTCGACGCCAGCGAAAGTGCCGCGATATTATGCGAAGATTATTATTACTGTGTTTATCTTTTCGGTTTGTTTTATTTTTGTTAAAATAATCTGTTGTCGCTCATTTAATAAACGGCCCACGGGTCT